CAATTGTAAGTGATAATCTATCTTTTCTTTTTCGTATTTCTCAATATAGTTGACAAGGTTTGATTTCTTCATTTTCAACCTCTAATCGAATTTCGTATTTTTGGGGTTCGATTTCGCTTTGATTTTCTGGGTTTGGATTCGGTTGAGATACTTAGTAATGGGTTCGATGAAAGTTGTTTTAATGGGTTTGATTACTACTTATGAATGAAATGCAGAGATGGCTAGATGGGATCAGATTTTCTCTCTTCCTGTTCAAAATCCAACCTTGCCAGAATTTTCTTCTACCCATCTTGTTTGGTCCAAGGTTGAAGGTTACAGAGACAACATAGATAGATTAGCCCTTATCCCTTTTGCTAGGGTCGATGATTTCGTCAAAGGTGAATCCTCCAATCAAGATTGTCCTACCAGTTTCCATGTCGAAGCTCGACGCCGGAAACCGAAAGAGAAAAAATATAAGCCAAAGGTTGATGGCATCTTAGAGTACATTCTGTAAGTTACACATTTACTATGATCCTTCATTACTTTCATTACTGGACTCTTCATTACTAAACATAGACTCTTCCTCGTAGGTATTGGTGTTCCTTTGGACCAGATGACAATAGGAAAGGCGGATCAGTAAGGCCGAGTAGGAGTACATATGTTCCCAAAAAGAACAACGCAGGACGACCGAATTCCAAGAGAGGATGCAGGTGTCACTTCATTGTGAAACGCTTAATCGCGGAACCAACGGTGGCGTTGATAATTTACAACAGTGACAAACATGTAGATGAGAAAGGGTTGCCATGCCACGGCCCGCAAGACAAGAAGGCGGCTGGAACAAGAGCTATGTTTGCTCCTTATATATCAGAAGATCTTAGATTACGTGTATCGTCTTTGCTATATGTGGGTGTTTCTGTGGAGACCATAATGCAAAGGCACAACGAATCAGTGGAGAAACAAGGTGGTCCAAGTAATCGAGATGATTTGTTAACTCATAGGTATGTTCGAAGACTTGAGAGGAGTATTCGACGCTCAACGTATGAACTTGATGAGGATGACCATGTCAGCATCAGCATGTGGGTTGAAAGCCATCAGAGTCACGTGTTTTTCTTCGACGCAGACCCCTTTTCGTTGGGTATCCAAACCGAGTGGCAGTTGCAACAGATGATTCGATTTGGCAACTGTGGACTCTTGGCTTCAGATTCAAGGTTTGGGACAAATAAACTCAAGGTTAGTTTCTCACAATTCGTAATATTTGTTTTAACATTACCGCGATGATTCTAACATCTATGTATTGCGTTTTATTTTCAGTATCCTATCCACAGTCTTGTTGTATTCGACTCCGAGAATAAGGCTATTCCAGTTGCTTGGGTAATTGCACCGCGGTTTTCCAGTGAAGATGCATATAGATGGATGAGAGCTCTTTGTAACCGAGTCCATGCCAAGGATCCCTCATGGAAGGTGGCTGGATTCATAGTTGATGATCCCTTTGCTGATGTGATAACGATCAGGTTGGTTGCTTCAAATACCACTTTTCATCCCTCAATATTACATTTTATTCGATGCTAATGCTTGCGATGTTCTCAGGGATGTGTTTCAGTGTCCTGTCTTGTTTTCTTTTTGGCGTGCTCGCCACGCATGGCATAAGAACATATTCAAGAAATGTCCAGACACAGAGATGCGTGTCAAAATTTCTAGAGAGCTTGGGCAGGTTGTAGATAAAATCTGTAGAAGGCAAGGAACAGCCACATTGTTTGAGTGTTTTGTGGAGGATTTTGTTGATAATCCAGAGTTTTTGGAGTACTTCAGAGCTGTGTGGTCTCCCAAAATAGGTTATTTTTCGATTCTCTCGATCTTTTCAATCTGCCAACTCGATTTGAAATTAATCTTGCGGGTGTTTGAGACCAATCCTCTCGAGAATGACTTTTTTTGCCTCCAATCTATAACAGGAGCTTGGACAAATGCTTTACAATCACATCCCTTGGCAAGCCAAGAGACCTGTGCAGCAATGGAGCTTTACCACTTTCAGTTGAAGTGCAGGCTTTTGAATGAGAGGGACTCTGAAGTTTATCAACGTGCTGATTGGTTGGTCGATAAGTTAGGGACAAAAGTACATTCTTACTTCTGGCTTGATGAATATTCTGGAAAAGATAAATTTGCTAGGTACTGGAAAGAGGAATGGGCGAGCGGTTTGACTTCTTTCCGCAAAGCATTGAGTATACGAAATTCTGATGTTGTTATCTCTGGTATGTCAGCAAAAATAACAGATGAGTGTGACGACGGCAACGAAGTTCATGTTGTTTGGAATCCAGGGTCGCAGTTTGGTGTTTGCAGTTGCAGCTGGGCTGAAAAGGGTTACATATGTAAGCACATGATCAAACTTACACAAGTCTGTCTTGGAAACCGGGCTGCTAGGCAATCTGCTAGCCTCCGACAGTATTATCAGACTTTGAGTGATCTGCTACGCTGCCCACCTCACGATTCCTTATTCCGTGATTATGCAGTTTCTTTAGCCGTCTCTGTGGAAAAACAAATCAACGCACTCTGTGATCTGCAAAAGAGCGATGCTAATGAAGATACCGTGCAGAAAGAAATTGCTGACATGGGACCATCTAATGGAAAATCTCATGATGAATCTGACCTGGTAGATAAACAAGTTGGTCTTGTCGAAGTTGCGGGTTCTGAAATGGAAAATATTGATCCTTCACCATGCCTAACCAAAGCTGTTGCAGAGGATGTTACTGATACGTATGAATCCCAACGTCCACCTATCTTATACCAATATCGAAGAATGAAGAAGGATAAGAACTTTGAAAGAGATGCGAAAAGGTCGAAAATTTGGGCCCCTGAGCAAGGGAGTGTATGAATGACGGTGACTGAGCCACGAAGAACCTAGCCGGAGTTTCGACGACTTTGTCGTCCATGTTGGGATAGATTGAAAACATCTGCTAGGTCTCAGGAAGCTTGATTCCATTGAGCAACACTCACTTCGTTGTTATGACTTAATAGGCTCTTGGAGACTGAAAAAAACCATTGTGGTGACATTGTTAACCTACAAAGTGACTTGAGACATCCAAGTACACTTGCGTCTGAAAACAACCAACTCTCAAGCAATCCGGTAGGTGTCTTTTAATAATTTTCTTGTTTATGTAAAACAGTAGTTAAAGTGTTCAAACATATCAGATTTTTAAGTTTTTGTTCCAAAATATATAACCAATAGTTTTAGATTTTCAGTAATTAACACATTCAATATCGAAGGCCTTGACTTTGGGCAGGTGCCAAACATGAGAACTCGTCATTAGCCTTCACAATGGGAGAAATAATATAAACCCTGAATTAGAAATGATCCCAAAAATAATATTTTTATTTTGTTTGCAATTTTTTTTTTAGTTGAAATTTTTGTTTGCAATTTATTTAAGGTAAACAAGCATTTTTTACGTAATAGTTTGTGTTATATGTTTATAATTTGTTCATCTATGGTTAGAATTTGAAATAAATTATCAATTTTTCAAACTTCAAAGTACAAGTAGCAAAACAGTGTACATCTTAAATTAGTGTTTATGAGATTGTAGTACTACGATTTAAAGCATTGTTCATTTGTAAATAGTTAGTTTTGTCAATCTTAACTAATAGATCCTCATTTATTACATTTTTAAAAAATTACTACTATAAAAATTTATCAGCCCAAACCGGGATTTAACTTTGATTTACAAAATGAAATAAAATAAAACCGATTAAACCGAAACACACAGACATATCGCTAGGTCGATAGCAGCTACCAAATACAGGGATGTGACAATCCAACGTTCGAAATTGGCCTTCTTTGCCTCCATCAAGGAATTGAAAAGTAAACTACCTCTACCCCTAATTCAATTATTTAACCTCCCAAACAAATCATAGATTAAAGGAACCAAAAACTCATAAATAAACCAACCGGTTTAATATACAGGTACGTATAAGCAGAAGAAGCAATAAGCCGATGTTTTTCCAAGAACCTGTGTTAGAAGAATACATCTCACATTCATATGCGAGGGCATAATGATATTTTCTAACCATATCATCTCACTTTTGAAATCTTTACAAAAATGCCACTTTTTCAAAATTATTTTTTCTTTATATCATTTATGTTTGGGTTATTTATGTTCTATTAGGGTTTAATTACGAGGGTTTTAGGGGGTTTTAGGGGTCAAAACATTTTTTAGGGTTTAGAATTTTAAGATATAGGCTTTATAAATCTATAATTA